GCGGTTAGAAGTTCGGTAGCACGATGCAAGCGAGGTCACCGAAATCTCAAATCCGTATCCTAAAATCCTTGTCGATCTTCACAACAATAATTGGGTCGCTTAGATTTGGGGGTGATATGTGAAATGGCCATAAAATGGCCCAATTTCTTTGAGGATGATTTTCCGACGATCATCTATTTTTGCGAATGCACCATTTTCATAGATCAGTCGTCATATTATATAATTGGTAAACTTTGGCGGCATATCATTGTAACGATATTTACCATTAGAAGGTTACGGGATGGCAAAGACCGTAGACTGGTATCAGTAAGTATCATGTACACGACAACGAACTTTGTGAAACGATAGATTCTCCGATTTCGTTCGGATACTCGTAACTGGGTCATTGCGCCGTTTCCGTCACTCACGCTACCCATGATCGTCTCTTTGTCATTGCTATCGTCTAGAACATGCATGTAACAGAGACTTTTTCCCGCACCCTTCTTAGTCTTTATAAAGTAAGATGACATTATTACTTTATATTAAGCAAATGTGTCAAGTTTAGTGATATTGCTGGTATTAGTATTATAATAGCTTTACCTCATACGTGAAAACATGCAGAGCTTGAGTAATAGTGGGCATGTATGTAAAACGCTCAAATTATGACTGGCTCGCTGAAATCGGCCGGTAGGTAGTAGTCATTAAGAGGAACAAGTTAAAGACGCAAATGAAAATGGATCTGGGACTCTTTCTGGTGTCGTGTCGACATAGACGATAAAATAATGAGTTTGGTTGGTTTGGCTATACAATCCGAGACTATAATTTCATCTTAATAATTTTGTATATAAACTGTTGGCATTTGCTTATTATTAATTTCTTATGTGAAAGCGATGACAAAATGAAAAGCCGACTACATGTACGGTGAACTATTGTCTATTAGTACCTTCGTTTATACTCATATCATATAAAACTCGATCGATCCGCCAATTTTACATACTGTTTATAGTCACCTCGGTCTATAATCACCATTTCATTTCTTCATATATGCCAAAGAGTATCGTCTGATTTCGTTAATGGGTGCATTAGTTAGTATTAGAGCGGATTTTATTCTATAATAACGGTTTCGTTATAAACCATCTTCGTTAAACCGGGCTTTACTGTACTGTGTGGATACTTCACACTTCAAAATTATCCTCGTCAAATCTTTCCAAATATAAATTCTTGCTGTTATTGGAAAATTACCAAGTTTCTAGTGAATTTGTGTCACAGCAATGCAATGTGAATTACCAACAATAATAAAACAAAGAAGTTTAGGTATAGTTGAAGTACTGTCACATACACCAGTCAGTTGTACTAACGCATTTAGTGTGTGAACATATTAATATCTGTTAAGGAATAAAACTTCCCCACCAACCCACCTTGTTTGACTTTGGACGGTATAACTCACACAGCGACCTCCCCATTTTGTCCGCATGGATCGAAATGTGATTGGTTGATCATTGATTATGATAAAATTTCCGTAAAAAGTAATAAATTTGGGCGGTATGGCTGTAACAGACGTATTTTTAGTGGATGTACTTTTTCGAGGCTTTGAGTAACGATCGGATTACCTAGTAATGGCAAATCAATAAATAGTGTTAGTGTTAGGATAATATTTCCATTATAAGTGTTACACAAATTAATGTTATATTACCGTTACCACAATGTTAAAGCTTTTTGTCAAATATAAAAAGACCAAAGACCATGTCCTTTCCTTCGTTGATATTGAAATAACATATAGAACTTCTGTTCGGTTTGACGATAAGAATCACATTGTTTATAACACATCCAAGCTGTATGTACTGTATCAGGAGTGTGAAACAACCCCTCCATAACACCCACCCTTTAACAAAAATAGATATTGTCTCACTTATAATGATAATAATAAACAGATACTTCGCAGCTGCTGTTGTTTTCAGTCTCTTTATTGCAACTGGATCTTATTCTGTTCCAATCAATTATTTTGCTGGAAGGTACACTTGTGATAATTTTTCTTAGATATTTAATCGACCGGCAAATTCTTACAATACATGGCAATTTACAGGCATACTTTTCAATCGAGAGGGACTATAACGACTTGTATGTCGACAACAACGATTTATAGGTATTTCCTGTTTTAAATGTAAATATCCTGGTTATCGGGATGGAACTAAAGCTAATACTAATGTTTAAATTGTCTATTTCCAATGTATGTATACAGTATCATTACTCCTACCCTATTACCACGTCCAACAACAACAATAGCTTCGCCTATTAGCGAGAGTGATGCTAAACACTCTAGTGACAATAATTCGGATATGGTGCAATTAACAAACAACTTTAGTATCTTGGTCAGAGCGATAATTGGTACTGCCAGCCTTGTCGCTCTTGGTATCTTTGTTTCTTTTGTTCAAGCAAGGAGAAGAGCAGAAGACGATTCGTCCTTCAAAATCAAAATTTTTATGTTTTTTTGTAATAAAATGAATAGAACAGATATCGATATTGAATAGCAGTTATCAGTTAAGTAGAATGGATGAATTTCTATGTAAGCCAGTATTTGTATTAGAATTAAATTACAAACTTTTGTAAGCGTAAACCGTTTTTCTCGATAACAATTTTCTTTCATTTATGTGAATCTTAAATATTTTAAAGATTACTTAGAAAATTTATTCAAGTATATTAATATACCCTTTGGAGATAATATTAAAAAAGATCCCCACATTTCGCAGTTATTAAAGGGAACGATTTTACCAATACTATGTACTGGATATTATATGTTATCATCTAGATATTTAAGAGTTATAGACGTATTAATATTCCAAATTATAACCAATTTGCTTATTATTTACTATACAAATTACTATTTTGATACAACTTGACATGCATATTTACATAGTTTCAGGTATAGAAATTATATCGGGTGATTTCGGTACAAAAAAACCCTGGTACAAAGGAGAGCCAATATGTGTGCCACGGAAAATGATCCAACGCTAATATTAGTTATACAATCGCACCTGTCTATTTGCATACTGTCGGGACCGGTAGATTTTATGCAAATAGACAGAATACAGGAATATACGTTATCGCAATCATTTTATGATGAAGAACACTACATCAAGCAATCAACAACGCTACCAAATCTGTTTAAAAAGCAAAGAATTAATGAAGTGGTGTATTGGTAATTTTTTACGCCACAATAAATAATATAATTTAGATTAATCTGGTTGATCTCTCCTTTTGTAGTATGCATATGCAAATATACGTTGGTCGGATCTACTAGAGTTAGTTATGCAAATAGCTAATAGGTCCCAATAAGGGACTGAGGCTCCTTTATGCAAATGAACAGAATATATTATGCAAATAGACAGGTGCGACTGTAGTTGTGATTTTCCCTTTTCATAAAGTACTGTACATCGATTAACGTTAATCCGACTGTTGCGTCAATTAAACATTATAATTCGAATTATCCATATCAGGCCTAATGTTTGCAGATCACCAAACAGAAAAGATGATTCCCGTGGGACACAAACATGAGCAAACTAATGTCAAAAAGAAAATTCAGAAACGATACAGGCGACGAAGAAGTACACGAAAGCGGTTTATTTGTCACCTATGGCACTTCCCTTCCTGATATAAACTCTGAGGAGAAAGACAAAGGGAAATACCTACCCGTATGGAAACAAGAAGTACGTACGTTTACTGCGTGTCACCTGTCTCGCAACAATAGATAAGGGTATCTTATTTTCTAAAAAGGTGCGCGACGAGCGAGGATTAAGAAGACTTCATGGAGCCTTCAAAGGCGGCTGGTCTGCTGGTTACTTTAACACCGTTGGGTCTAAAGAAGGTATAGTACTACTAAATGTCCTTTGTTTTCTATCAGTTGAATTGTAAACTACATACCATTATTTTGGGAAGGATGGACACCTTCTTCTTTTGTATCATCTCGTGGAAAGAGAGTTGATCGAAAAGAATCCAAGCCAGAGGATTTCATGGACGAAGAAGATCTCGAGGTACGTGTTTCGCAAAAAAAAAAAAGTTTCCGCCAAAAATGCATCATGTTTATTGTATCGAGATCTTTCTAGGAATTTGGACAATCTCAAAAATTAGTCACTACCGAAGACTTTGATGCATTTGGATCCACGGCGCGTGATCTTGCTCGAAAGCGTGCCATTGCGACGGCGATGAACGAAAGTGGGAGGTAAATAACGTGAAACTCATTGCTAGTGTTTGCTCCGGAGATTCTAATACAAATATTGTTTTCATCCAGTGTATTAGGTGTATTACCAGATAGATTTATTGACGATCTGGTCATGCCGAACAGAGAGCCAATAGGCATGTATTAAATTCGTTTATCGACTTGTTAGGAGTGATCCGTACTGTATTCGATTATTAATACAAAGATCTCGTGCAAAGGCATAAGATTATTGAAACAAATGGGGTGGCGTGAAGGGCAAGGAGTAGGACCACGCGTTCCTGCTAGTTCAAGAAAGGAAGATGGTAGGTTGCGTATCCCCCCGTTCCTACTTGCTAAGAGATGATGGTATCTAACAAATTAATTACTTGTTAATTAGGTGAGAGCGGGTCTGATGTTGATAGTACATATACCTCAGATATTACGTTTGCTCCCAAGGATACCCAGCTAATTCAATTTAATCAGAAGAATAATAATTTCGGTCTTGGATATAATCCTTACGATAACGCACCAGAATTCCGTAGAAAGCCAGATGAAAGCAAAAGTAAGAAAAAAAAAAGGCTTTTGTTTAAGTTTGCAAACCAAATTAATGCGATCTATTCTGCTGTAGGTGACACTTATCTCCAAAAGAGTCATAAAGACGCTTTACCTATGAGAGGTTAGTACAAATACATTATGTATTGATAAGAAAATTTTTTGTTAGTTAATCTGGTCTTGCCTTTGTTTCAGGTGGAATTGGTGTTGGTGCCTTAGAGGATGAGGATGAAGATTATATTTACGGCGGATCATCAATATCCGATTATCACAAGTCGTTGGTAGATGAAGACGAAGACGTATTTGTGATGGGTAGAAAAAAAACGAAAACAAAGCAATATAGCGTAAGCAGTAATTTATCAAAGGTATGATGATTTAATTAGAATGTGCCATAGATTGGCTTATTGTTCAATGTTACTAATTACAAATCGAACGTTTTTTATAGGGAGATCGTGGTACGTGTCGTGATAACAAGCTGCCGCTTGTGGGGTTTATCTTAGCCTGCAGGCCTGTGCCACTGGATAAATGGTATGTATAAAGCTCCACCTCTTCAGAGTTCCACACGGGCTCGTTTATGCTTGTGATGACAACACTTGATAATATAATGAACCAGGTTCTCCCCACCGGATTTGCCGGCAGGATTCACACCATTTCATATCTTTGATACGCCTGGACCATCGACGGAGACTGACGAACAAGAACACAATCTTAAGGGACCCGATGATAATAAGGACCTGCAAATTACCAAAGAAATCGATACGAGCCGGATAACCAAGGAAGTCAAGGGACCCATCATGTATCGGCCAATGTCCAGCATGATTTCCTCGCGTTTTGTTAGTGGAGGTTCTTTGACTGGTCATGAATTAAGTAAACCTGAAGGCGGGCTGAATGTTAAGCCGATAATTCCAGAAATGATTCAGAAATCCGAAACTCAATCTGCAAAAGAGGAAATTATATCTACAGCAGAGTCTGCGGCCAGAATGAACATGTTTGGGCCATTGACGCGTACAAAAGTAGACTTTTATCCCAACCGACTTTTATGCAAACGGTTTAATGTTGCGGATCCGCATCCCAATCACAAGGCAGAGAAATCCACTGGAAGGACGGAGAAGGGTCAACGAGACGTATTGAGCAAGGAAACATTAGATAATATAATAACGCAAAGTAATATTGAAAACTTTTCCGGTCTAGGGCGTTCGGTGCATTTGGCAATAACATAATAAAATAATTTTTTTTCCTTCGATACTTTTTTGTTTCAGTGTTATCCCAAGATGAACCAAAACCGCCATCTCCAAAGCGTAAGCGAGCACTCGATGAAAGTGAAGATAAAATAATAAAGCAAAGTAATATTGAAAAACTTTACCGGTCTAGGACGTTCAACTTTGTCAAGAGCATTATTTGACTAATTCTTTTCCCTTTCGATATTTTTTTGTTTCAGTGGTATTCCAGGACGAGCAAAAGCCGCAATCTCCAAAACGTAAGCGAACACCCAACAAAATTGAAAGTGATGTCCAACCAAAAGTATACATTAAATCGCTAGTGAAACATATGAAAATTTCTTTCTTCAATAATCTCTATTGTACGTATTGCTATATAATTTGCAATAAATTTTGAATCGTAGGAAAGCTAATTGATTATACTTTCGAAAAAATGGATGATGTATTCAGGCTTGTTATCATTCCGAACTACAGTTTAATTTATGTATAACATATGTGGTCGCTTTTGAAATGGTACAGAATTTATTGCAATTTACATGGTAAATATGTACAATAGAGATTTTCGAAGAAAAAGATTTTTATAGTAAGTTTAAAAAATGTTGTATATTTTTGGTACAGCAAAGCAATATTAAAAACTTTACGTTGTTGTGATTTTCGATTTTATCAAGCACAGTAGGAAAATTTTTGGTTAATTCCTTTAAATACTCTTTCTTGTAGTATTACTCCAGAATGAACCAAAACCACCATCTCCAAAGCGTAAGCGAACACCCGACGAAAGTGAAAATGATGCCACGTCATCCGATGAATCATCATCATCTCCAGAATCTGATGCGAAAAGATCTCGCCACCATAAGCATCGTCATCATCAGCATAATAAAAGCTCGTCGTCATCCAAAAAGAACAGCAAGAAAAAGAAGAGGCGGTCAAAGAAATCCAGATCGAAACACCGACAAGATTACTCTAGGGATCGAAGTGACGATGAGCGACGGCACCGAAAGGATAAGAGGAGAAAACACCGAGATGAAGACGATAATGATAAAGCGAAAAAGGATAAACGCAGTCTGGATTATGGTGACGAGGCGCATTCTAAAGTGAAGTTAAAGGATGGCAGAAGTGTGGATGACGCAAAAAGCCGTCACGAGCGAGATGAGAAAGATAAATGCGAGGAAGCAACACGGCAGCAAGATGGGGGCGAAAAGCGAAGCACAACAGTAGACGAAAGTGTTAAAGCGACCGATAGTGGTTCTCGTCATATTAGAAATCGCCCAAGAGCTACGGATTTGTGGGAGTAGTCGAAAGCTACATTTCATGTATTCCTGCTAACTCATTTAACGTCCCCACCCCCTCTCTTTATCAGTACAAACAATTATTGAAGTTGGTATTTTTTCCCCTTTAGTCAAGTAGAGTAGTTCGCAGCTAATTAATTAAACGGAATCCCTAGTTTGCTCCAGATATTAATGTGGAAAAGTAAATGAAGAATATGTTAGAAACTGGAAGTAATGAATGACATCTACGCGTAAGATATATGAAGGCGCATATACATGATATCCAGTTGTTACTATCTTAATATTATCACCTCCTTTCAAAAATATCGAATCGCATTGGAGGCGCAAAAAGCTCAGCATTCGGCTTCAGAGCACTAATTAGAATAAAATTAACGAGTTTGTTTGTCTAGTATCCAAAAATGTTGATATTCAGACCAAGTCCTAACGTTCGATTGGTATGTCAAGTTAACTGGTTTACCAAGTATTTTGACATACAAAAAAATATTAAGATAAAAAAACGGAAATGAACCATGAGTTGTATGAAAAATTATCGGATGGTGAAAACACTGCTTATACCTGTATCCGTCCAATGATTATAGTATTGTTACGAATAAAAGGAGGGAAATTTATTATTAAGCGTTCAACATTCAAAGCATTAGAACACGAGCTTCTCTGGTGTAGTAGTAGATCATTGCTAAATTAATTATTTTGTGCTGTCACTGCTTTTTGTTAAGAATTGACTTTCCTACCTGAATGTAATAGTGATTTAATATTGTTGAATTGAGAAAGTTTCAAAAATCAAAGACCAAATAAAGCAGACAAGCAATTACCAAAAAAAAAACCCAACTTATGATCATCTAGCAATAATCAATATTTTTTGGAGGATGCAGACAATTGTCATAAGCCCAAGTCAACAATGCCCCAGGGCACTGTCATTGTGATATGTGACGCTGAGAAAATTAATAGTAAAACTAAATACAGCAAGCAGGACCAAAATGAACAATACTTCAAAGTTTCACTTCTCTACAATACTCTCATTCTTCATCTGTTTCAATTGAGTGGAACATGATGTTCAAATCCTCACGGTAGAACCGAAGGAATTCTCACTTTAAATAGTAAAATCTCCCCCCTTATTATTATAACGAATTTTAATAGTGAAATCTCGTTATACTGTTACCAAAGTTCCCGAGGCTACTGTCCGCTTATACAGGAGTTTTATCACGTGCCAGAAATGCTGTGTGAGGATCATACGATTTTGCTCGTTATATTTGATAGTAAGATTTTTAATCGTAGCCGCCAATTCGTGTGCCGATGTTTTGATCAGACGTCATATTTCGTATCTACCTGTGGTATTTTAAGTTCAGTTAACATGTTTATGGTATTCGCAGAAGTGAAACTTTGAAGTATTGTTCATTTTGGTCCTGCTTGC